CACAAACAACAAAGACTGACTAACCTAATAGGGGCTAGTTCATAGCCGTTTGACCTGAATAATCTAAAATGGAACCTAGATGGCATAAGAAAACTGCATGTCCTATTTGACACCACCTAGTATCCAGCCGTTATTCCAACTTAGATTAAAAGCTTATAATAATTGTGTAACTCGAGAAATCCCCCTAATGGGGCAAAAAGACGCTTGAGTATATTCATGGACAATCAAGTCCAATTTCACAAATGACCCAAATGGTGAACCTCTAGGTGTTCAAGATAGTACCGCTTGAATCTTAGACGGTTGTGTACTTCGATTGGGGAAATCATGGTAGTGATTGATTAACCAAGTAACCTCTCATACTCCTTAAAATTATCAAAAGTTCCTCAGCCAATCAATCTATTTTGAAACCAACCACACAACTGCCCAAGAGCAAAAGGTCAGCCGGTTTGTTAGTTGTCGTATGCAATTAATAAGTTGGGAAAGATTGAAGCATACATATAGCAAAATCAAAACTTGCAAGAATTGAAAAATTTTACAAAACCGACTCAATCGACAATTTCATAAATAAAACCCGACCAAAAGGCCGGGGGAGCAGTTGTCATACCGGATCGACATCTGGGAAATAAGAAAATATTGTTATAACAAACATCCAAAATACACGGCACGCAGGCCGGAAATGCAGACGATCAAAGGCCAAATAGAAATGAAGACGGTAAAGCTAATTTTGCCGAGGGGACTCCGAGGCTTCCTTCCCATCCTTCTCAGGCGGAGGTAGAGCAGAGTTCACTTGTGTATCTTGTTGTTCTTGCTCTTTCTCTCCACCCTCTGCAACCTGAGCAGGTTCCTCTCCGTCTGAGGCCTCCTTGTTTTCCCAAACATCAAACGGAACAGGCTCCGGCTTGCCTTCCTCCCTTGCCGTCAGGACCTCATCGGCGTACTCATAGGCTAAGGCCCAGATGCCGTACTTAGAACTCGAATGCATAATATCCCATGCCATCTTCATCCGGGTTGTGCAGTCTTTCTTATTCTCCTCGATGAGGCGGTCCTGCTCGGCTGCCAGAGTTGCCTTGAAGTTGGACTGGGAAGCAGCCATCTCGTTCTTCAAGGACTTTGACATCCTCTTGTTCGCCTCATCCAGAGCAGCCGTCAGACGCTTGATGCTCTACACCTGCGTCATCAACTCAGCTTTAGTCTCAAGTTGGTTTATTATATTTTGATATTGGGCAACGTCGGCGGACTCAATTGCCCATTTATTGGCCCGTCTTACTCCTGCTTGCAAGCATACCCCTTCTTCAACCCATCAACTCTTAGCATCACCTGAAAAAGTGCGAACGGTATGTTAGAAACACAATCGACATTGTACTTTAAAAAACCTCAATTAAGTTACAATACCTCAGACGGCAAGGAGAGGATACGTTCAACATTGAACGTCTGATTCCCCGGAATGGCCTCCTTCTCCTCTTTGGGGATAGACCCCAGCATGGCCTTGGAGTATTGCTGCACATCCGGCCACCGGGGGGATTGATCTGCACCACAAGGAAGATGGGGTAAGTGAGTTAATAAGTGTACCCAAGAACTGGGTACCAAAGCATACAGTCGGTTTTAGCCATCTCTGTGTATAAATAAACTTGAAAATTGAAGAGAAGTTGGGGTAAGCGGTTTATACCTGGCCCTTAACTGCCAGTTGGGCTTTCTTCTTCTCCGCGTTATCTTTACGAATTTGAGCTGCAGCTCATTTAGACATCATGTCTTCCGGCAACATCTTCCTAGCGTTTTCTGCAAATAAAACCGCCTGTTAGAAATCAAAACAATTACAATATTGCAAAACAATAAAGGTGGCATAAAGATTTCTGGAAGCATGCTCTACATATGTCTATTGAACATTGTGCTCAGACCACAGGCGGACAAGAACGCCTCGTCTCTTAGTCATTCATGCTTTGGTACCCAGTTCTTGGGTACACTTATTAACTCGCCGGTTAAGAGGGGAGTGGTTGTAAGCTCAAAGAACCCGGCTCTATTATTTTCTCATAATCCTCATTCGGAACCTTTGGGAAAGCACACTTCTGACCCAATAGATCTGGCTTCTTATTGTAACACCGATACTCAAAGTTATCTCACCGTTTGGTGGCAGAAATCAGGTAAAACATGTTCTTCCAATCAGACCACTTAGACGGTTTGTCTAAGGTCATCAAATAATTGGGATAGGTGGTCAAAGTGTACCACGCCCGCCAGCCGCCTAGGCTACGGCTAAGGTAGTGCATATGGGAAAAAGCCTCCCAGCCGGGATGGAGGCCCTACATCTCATAGGTGGCAATGTATCCCAGAATGTTAACCCAAGAATTTGGGATCAACTGCCACACACCCAGGCCATATCCTCGAAGGATAGCCTTAATTGCATCATGGAGGGGGAAGCGGATACCGGATAGGAAGGCCGCCACGTAGCAGCCGTAGTAATTGTTGGCATTTAGTTGGTCACCCTTCCAGGCAAAGGTGCTAAGTTCAGGCGGCACCCGGATGTCATAGCCTTCACCAAGAGGACGTTTTATTTTGAAATCCTCCAAGCCTTTTTTCATGTTTGCTCTGTCTTTGGCAGACACATGGGTCTGGAACGGATCCCCCTCATTGTTCCAATTTTTTCTCTCTTCTGCCTCACTATCCTCAAGCGGCGATAGTGAGCCACTACTACTCTCCTCAGTACCAGACCTAGAGGCGGTCTCTCCACCGTCTCTCTCTGAGCCGGATACAGAGTCGGTCTCTTCCCCGTCTCTCTAAGACTCAGCTTCATCATCTCCCTCAGAACTAGATACAAAGACGGCTTCTTCACCGTCTCCCTGTTGTGATTCAAGGATCTTGTCACTAGGAGTGTTGGGTGCATCCGGAGAAGATCCTCCCTCCTCTTCAGCCGGTACCCCTACCTCAGCCGTCTCTTCCTCAAGCGGCGCACCGTCTGTACCTTCCTCTCTATATTCTGGATCAGGTGCCATTCGCATTATTCGAGCCATAGTGTCCTGCAAAGACACAGAGACGATCGGATTTGGGGAAGAACAAGGGTGGTCCAAACACCCAGAGACGACACCCCGAGTCCTAGATTCAGCCGTACCAGGAGACCGGCTGACTACTTACCTAGGTTGTGCCGTGTGTGCTAATGGTGAATTCATTTATTTAATGACATGTACACAAGCGGAAAAAATGTGAAAGAGCTGAGAGGAGGAGAGATGGAACCTTGAAGATTTGTTTCTTGAAAAGGGTGTCAAGCGCTAACCGGCTGTAACAGGCGGGCAGAAATCAAGCAGATGTTTGTGAGATACACAGGTGGTTGTCAGATTCTCTCTCTCTAGAACATTTGACTTTCTCTCTCTAGATTTTTTTTTAAAATGTAAAAAATGAGGGGGATAAAATTCTATTTATAGAGGGGTAAATTCAACAGCATCCTATAATTTCCCTAGAAGGTGAACAATTAAAACTGTTCACCAATGCCTAAGTGACAAGTGTCACAGGTACCACGTGGCACGCCATGTAACACCTGTGAGGGGCAAATGATTTGGGTCAAAATACCCAGGCCACGTGGCCCAATCAGAGGGTGACACATGTCACCCTAGGAGAGGCTCAAAGTGAACCAATCCTCAACTAACACGTGGCACTCCCAGTCAGTACGGAAAAAAGACGGACTTCAAGGCCCAATTCCCGAGAAAAACCGCAAAACGGCGCAGCCCCCCAAATCTAGGTCAGTATGACCTAAGTAAGGGCACATCTACCAATGACCCTATAAATAGGAGGATTTGCCCCACTTTGGGGACACGTTCAATCATTACACACAATCAATTCTCTCGAAAACAGAGAAATCACCTGATCTCGGAATCCGAGAAGATCTCATTTTACTTTCCGCACTTTTACATCACTCCGAACACTTTCTAACTTGATCGTCGGAGGCGGAACTCCAAGCACCCGGAGCTTCTGTTGTTTTGCAGGTACAGCCGGCAGGAAATAAGTCTTGGTGACGTAACTCTTCGGAGGGACAAAAACCCCGAAACAGGTTCCTATGATTTTAAACAAGGGTACAAATGTATTACTTTACTTATAATATTATTAGCTTATATTAATATTGCGTGTTATAGTCTGCTATTGCTTATTAACTGTTACACCACAGTCTAATACAAATTTCACTGATTAATACCTTTGAGTGTTTTGCATGTGAAACATAATGGTAGAGAATTCTTTTTTAAAAGTTAAAACTCATTAACAAAAAAAACAGTTCTCATATAGGCAAGGGCGTGCGTAATCTGCTTCAAACATAATTATATAACCCTTGCATACTAAACAAGAGAATTCACCTTTCTTTACCAAAGAAACAAGTTTAATAGTTATTATTATTAACACTATTAGTAGGTGTACCTCAAATGATAATTAGACACTCTACATTATAAACTTAAAGAATTCCTTTTCAATTTGTGATAGCTATTTAGTTATTAATTAGACATTTGAACTCTATTGAATATATCACACGCTTATACCATTATCTAAATGTGGTAAAAGAAAGCCAATACATGAACAAACTATATGCTCACACTATATTGATAAATGAACCCTACATATTAATATCTCAGCAACAAAATCTTCTAACTAATAGTAAATTAACAATAGTAGCATTAAACTAATAAATGACTAGAACCTGATTCCCATTACTTTCATTATAAAGAAAGATGTTACTACTATACACAACTTAGATGAATTGCTGATTCCCAATTATAATCTAATTACATAAGCACCTTCATACACCGCATATGTGTACTTGATGAATCATGAATGTTATGATTACTTAGATGTACATTGACATATTGATCTTGTACTCTTGAAAGACATGACGAAGCTCAAGGCTATAACTCATCAGGAGATATATGGGCCTCACTTGTAATTAAATCTAACTCTTAGTATTGTGCTTCGCCTTAATTATCTATTGTGTGTAACTACTAATCAAATTAACGTCTACTTTCTTCCAAAGATTAGCTTTTACACAATTAATCGCAACTTCATCATTGAGTAGTTATTCCAATACAACTTCAAGAACCTAATATCTATACACATGACAAACACGCACTATTGTTAATTTGTTACATATTCAAATACATGCCCTACAAATTGTAACTAAGTACACCATAATCTCCTAATTAATCCCCAACAACCTACCATTAGCAAAACAAAAACCGATATCTTGGGGAACAGCGCGCAATGCGCGCGGGTCCACAACTAGTAGTAATAAAAAAAAGCCAATAATGATGGAAAGCAACAAATATACTTTGGTTGTGATTGTTTTCCTAGTTTAAGCATTAAAGGCAATGCTTTGTTTACGTTTGGAGGAGCGTTCCTGTGCTTTTGTGTATTTGTTTGTGTGTTTGTTGAATAAACTTGGGGGAGATGGCACTTTTATATGATTATTGGTGACTTCTTAAGTTGGTTTTTGGGAGATGGCCACTCTTTTGCTTCACTCAGGAAATACCACCAAATTTTTCAAATTTTCACCCTACCTATACCCTAAGCCATGACATTACAACCCAATAAAGTCCTTTAGACCCTAGAGGGTTGAGTCTACAACCGGTGGAGGGAGATGGTTTTCAAGCCTATAGAGAGGGATGTGTATAGCTAAGACGTCGGGATAACCTTCTCATGTTTTTCATTTCTTTATATTTTTTCGGTTCCTTCGAGGAATCATGAGAAGCTAACTCGAGGTTGATTTGAAGCTAGTGGAGAGAACGTTGTTAGAATGGTGGGGACGAAGGTAATTGTGTCGTGTGAGTTCTCTACGCTTAGCATATTCTATGTTTCAATCAACCTTGGATATCTTGAAACGTGCATCCCCTTGGTTATTTAGAAAGTTTTGCATCCATTTGTGCTTGATCATTTGCAAAAGTCCATTCATGAGCATTTGTTCTTTTTCTTTTTATTTTTGATTTCATTTTCATGCTTTGCCTCATTTTGTTTTGAGAGTTATAGGTTAAGCTCTTTAGGAAACCCTTACGAGAACATCACTCGTCCTCTAGGGCAATGTAGGGGTTTAAATTGGCTTGTCACTAGCTAAAAGGTGGCTGTGATTCCTACGTTAGTGAGTTAGGTATACGAGATCTCCGCTGCAGGAGGCGCCCAACCACTAAGCATGACGCTCTACGAGAAACAAAAAATAAAAAGAGGTTAATATCCGAACGTCAAAAGAAAAATAAAATCAAAGAAAGAAAAATACGAATCGGGACAAAAGCTGAAAAAGGAGTCATCCTAGGCGCAACAAAAGCCTAGTAGAAAACCCAGGCAGCACCAGCTGCTCCGCGGGATTACCAAGGATTGCCTGAGCTCAGTCCTCGGTAGAAAGTAGGTCCGGACGCAGCATCCGGATCAGGGTCTGCAGGAACCAAAGGCTCCACGAACAAAAACTGCCAAACAACGGGCTCGCCTAAAAGCCACGCGTCTGTCCGATGAATCAAGAAGAGACCCTAATAAAGTGCCCGGAAATGACAGCGAACGTTGCTTGCTTGGACAACCGCTAGGATCCCCACGACTAAGCCCCAAGGGCGAAGGTCAGCCTGCAAAATACATCATCATGTAAACGAATGACCAATGAATAATAATAGTATGAATGTAAGTTGCAAACCTATACTCACCGACGCACAAGTTGCCGAGAGAATCCTCTGGCGAAATTCACCGGCTTCAGTAGCTCGTATCTTCCCTATTCTGACCAAACTGTGGCCAATAGGGAAACGAGTCGGCCCGAGCGTCCAGGGGGCTAGAAAAGGAAGGTACGAATACCCCCATGCCTAAAGAAGCAAACAAAATAAATAAGATTAGCTTAAGAGTCGATGGGAAAGATTAAAAAAAAAGAAAAAAAAAAAGAAACATTCCTCAAGAATACGACCATGCCATGAAATGGAGATCCGGGGCACCTCAGTAGCTATCGCGGAATCCATCACTCGTGTCATCTTGCCTATAGCAGTAAGCATACGAGGATACGACACCTCCGCCCGATTCAGGTTACCCACCTTCCCTAACTCACTAAGGCATGTGAGTAACCCGATAGCGAAACGTTCTCCCCGATCACACAAAGCAGTGACGGAAAGAACGTGAGCAATGTATATCCGAGCCAACTGTTTAGGAGTACACTGCCGATCCACCTCATCAGCCAAAAACTCGTCGGCAAGAACCAAGTAAGGACAAGATTGCATATACACATGTAGGGTCGCCTCAAGACGATCCCCCACAAGATCACACAGTCTCTCGTCTGACCCCTTTATGTTCCCCAAAACCACGGGCTCGCCTTCAAAAGGAAAACTCGTTATCATAGATAAGTCGTAAGGGGTAACCATCATCTCTCCCCACTGAAAGTGAAAAGTGTTGGTGGAATCCCACCAAAACTCCAACAACCCGGGGAGAAAAGCTAGTGACGCAGGCTGACTCGACAAATCCCGAAGAGCTGCCAGCTAGAAACTGACCCCCGAAAGCTCAATCACCTCATTCACTGCCTCGGGTAGAGAGTTATAACGACCTCTCAAGTCGTAAGAACTTATAGGCGCATGTTAGGCTCACTCCAAAACAAAAGAAAAGAAAAAAAAAAGAGAAGAAAGAAAACTCAATTATGACGGGAAATAATGAAATAAAAAAAATAAAATAAAAAAATAAAAAACAAACATGAAACACTTACTATGCCGCGCCGACCCTGAATCGAGACATGGTGATCCAGGTCCCATTTAAGGACATGTGGATCCCAGTTGGGAGGAGCCTCCCAAACCAACTCCTCGTGACGATGTCTATCAGCATCAACATGTCGCTCTCGCCCTTTCTCACGAGCATGTGTCTTCCTCTTTCGAGGGTGAACTACCTCGTCAGGAACTTGTCCCTCTAAGATGTCCTTGGCATCCACAAACAGAGGAGAATCCATGCATGCTACGAACAATCAATCGATGGAATTTAAAAAAAAAAGTCACACGGTTAAATATGTTTTCTAGATCCTAAAATGTTACCAAAAAAACATAAGTATAATTTTTTGACCCATTTCGGCAGCATAACGGCTGCAAAAGGGCAAAAATACAAGTGAAAAACCACCCAATACTTGGGGGTTATGACACCTGCAATTGAACTGAGTAAATGGGGGCTTAAAAACCCAACAATCCAACCTATACCAGTTCAACTAATCATTCTAAAGTCTTTGTTTCATAGAATCTTAAAAGTTAATAGTTTATGGATGAATAATAATCAAACAAATATAATTATCATCAATCAAATAATTATTTTGTAACTTGAAAAATGGCAAAAATAAAAAATCAAACATTTCACGCATTTTTCTTGAGCTCAAAATTTTCAAAACATGATTCATGAGCATAATTGTAGTCATAACACTATAATTCATCTCATAATCAACAAGTATAACAAAATAAGCGAGCAAAAACAACAATTCGCACTTAAATATCAAGGGGAGAGTGTGAAAACGAACATAAACCAAAACATGCTCATACGAGATTCAATACTTAACCATTTTTCATGAAATTTGTTGCAAAACACTCCTTAAACATAGCGTAACAATGTAGAACAAACAATTTAATGAATTATGGACCAGATCAAAAACCCCCAAATTCAAAAACTAGGAATCTTCGGTTCGAAATCCTTTAATTTTGACCAAAATCCGCGAAAATAAAAAGCAAAACTTACATTGGATCATGGAAAAATGGAACTGGAGGCAAGATTTCCTTTCTTTAGCTTCAAATGGAGGAAAAAACCAAGCTTTGTAGAGAGAGAAAGGGTCTAAAATGGTGAAAATGGCGATGAGCTGCGGAATTGCGCTCTTCGCTTCTTTTTTTACTGATTTAAATGTCGCGCACAACCCTGAAAGTTGCGCGTGACATCCCACCACAACTCTGAACCTTGTCCATGCTTGCAGCGCGACTTCTAAAGTTGCGCATGGATACTGGTCACTTAAAAGGTCGGTATCCGGATTTTGATCTGTTTTGAATTTTTTCTTATAGTTTAGTGCGTTGATAAACGTAAAACGCGCGGATTTTCAAAATCCTTTTATTGCTTTGCATTTTGTAGTTTGTTTTCTTCTTTAATAGTTTTTTAATTGCATCATCCTATATGCACACCGTTCTTTGTGCCTTCCCAGCATACGTTTTGGATATTTTCTCGGAAGACGACGAAAAAATATCACGTAGTAGTGCTTTATGTAAAAGATCTCATAGATAGTGTGGCATTTTTCTTGTACTACCCTTTAAGAAATGCCACATTTTAGTATTTTTGTTGTTACTTAACAAAAATACCGCATACATACAGCGTAAAATTGTATGGCGTACATACAACGTAAATTTGTATGGTGTACATGCTGCGTAAAATTGCACTAGTAATGTGATCTGTCTCTCGTTAAAACGATAGAACCTTTTTTTAGGCGTTAGCTTAACGAGTCGACAAAGTGCGTCGACCATCGGGGCATTGACTACCCCCGTTGGAAGCAAATACGGTTAGCTTGAAAACGATCTTGCTTCACCAAATAGTTAGGGTGTTCGTCCACCCCATGTATAAAGAGCGATCCCTACTGAAGCTGCACCCCATTTAGACACGTGCCCCTAGTCTTGAGACGCGTGTTTTCATCTTGTAGACAAAACTCCTGAGAGAGTTGTCGATTTTCATCTCTACTCACTGGTTTTTGATGTATGCCTCCAGTCCTAAGACATGTATTTTTATCTTGTGGACATCGAATCTTTGTTTTGGCAGCATATGTCAATCTTTTATTCAAAGTGTTAGGCTACGAACGCCAAAGCACCCCTATTTATGATCTTTTCTTTATTACAATCATGGACTAAATTTTTAGTGACAGATCGAGGGACTGTAGATCGCCAATGCCATATTGAGAAGGTATCATTCTCTTTTAATCTTTTTAAACCCGATACCTTTTCATAACATGACATCACGTAGGACAGCCTTTACTTGTAAAAGCGTTCTATACCTACAAAGGGTCAATCTAGACTCTTTAGTACACTAAGTTAAAAAAAATACATGTTTTTATGTGTTTTTTTGGCGTTAATTAGTAGCTACTTGTCTCGAACATTAAGCGAACTGAGGATAGTTTCGACATTCTCAACACCATTGAAAGATTCCTTATCTCTAAGGAACTTCGCAGAATGAGTCTTGGATTTATTTCCTTGACTACTTTGATCATCGTCTATTCTAGACTCGATCAAAGTGGAGGCTAATTGTAGGCATCTACTTTTGGTCCCCTGTCCCGATCGGAAGTGCTATGACGATAAATAATTCCATATTTGTGCTGGATTGGAGTAAGGAATGTTAATGGACTACTAATTAAAGCTTAAACCATAAAACTAGCTATCTTGACCTAAACGAAATGAACTAAAGCTCATTAATACTAAGCCCGATCAGAAATTAGGCCTAATTCAAAGATTAAACCTAATCTCAGACGGATTTAGAGCGCCTAGGTTAAAATCTAGGGTTACCGTAGGAAAATCCGCGCGCAACTCATGCAGTCACGCTCGGCAGCCGCGAAACTCTCAGTGTTGTGCTTGTGAAAGATTTAAAATTTCAAAAAGATACTGAATCAAATCTTACCTTACAACCGCGCGCAAGATTAGAAGTCACGCTGGCCTAGTCAGCGCAACTCCCACACTTGGGCGCGGTAGCCACACGCAACTTCCAGAGTTGCGCACGCCACCTGCTGCTGCAGAACCTCCAAAACCCTAATCGCAACCCTTGCTTATAAATAGAGGATCAATACGAGCTTTAAAAAGACAGAAAATCAGCCAAAAAGTCAGTAGTAACTCTTTGTGAATTTATGCAATAATCTAACCTACTTGTCCTAACACTCACCCTTTAATCATTTTGTTCTTAAGGTGGAGGTTCCCGAACAAGAAGGTGTCCATTTGCATTTTAAACAAAGATTTAGCAAGGAAAAGTGGTAATTCCCGAGCACTTAGGTAAATCACTTCTCTTTTCTTGTCTTAAATCACCTAAATTGACTAATTAATGTTGCTTGATCATATTCAAATAAACCTTTAATTAATTAGTTTGACATAGTATTCTTTCGTTAAACAAGACTAGAATTAAATAAATTAATTGATTGTTTTATCACTTAAGCCAAAGGCAAATCTTGTTTATTATTGTTCTTTCACGAATTTGAATTAAATAATAAGAATAATGGCATTCATTGTAATGTAATCCTTATGTGATTGATGCGTGTAAATAAAATCAACTGACTTAGTTTTAGGTATCACGTTGCATATATTGTTTGGCGATGAAATTGTGAAAAAGGAAGAGGTAGTAAAGGCCGCACTAGGGCTAGGATGGCGATTCCCCTCAAAAATGAACGTTATCTTAATATCCTCGCTCCTGAACTCATTTCTGGTATTAGTAGACAAATTTGGGCATGTGTAAACTTATGATTCGTGCTTAATATCCCTTAAACTCTACTTGGGAGAAAGGCATGAACGAGGTTTATGAGTTTTTCTGAAACTCATTGGCGACTCTTTATTGGTTTTTAATAAAAAAAAAAAAAGCGTAATGATATAATCAATTCTAATTCAAGGTCCTCTAAACAGTCAGGATTTCAAATTCTAACACACCCTAAAAAGTGTAAAGTCCTAGGCTTCTAAAGGGCCATGGGCATAGAGGAAAGGGGATCCCCAACGACGGCTACCCTCCTCACAATACTCCCTCTGTTTTTTTATAAGCTTGAGTTGGATTTGCACATTTGCCGAGACACAATTTTGACTATCAATATCTCTAATTTGAGGTTAGTAAAAATTATGAAAAAAATAACTTATAAAAGTAAACATTATGACAAATCCAACAGCACATTATATGATCATATTTATATATTATATATTGGTAAAAAAATTAAGTCAATGATGACATATGAATAGTGAAAAATCCCAATTCTAGCTTTTAAAAAAAAGGAAAATTTGTCAAAAAAATTCTTTTAAAAGCACTATTTTACAAAAAAAAAAAAAAAAAAAAAAAAAAAAAAAAAAAAACTTTTAAAAGCTTTTTGGCAAAAGATAACCTGATTTTTAACTTTTTAGCAAAAGAAAACCCGATTGTAATTTTTTTTTTTTTTTTTTTTGTTAAAGACAACCTAGTACATCTAATTGATGTAATTAAGATATAATTTCTTCTAATTATCCTCTAAAATCCATTTAACCATTTAATAAATAAATTTATTTATAAATTAAAAAAAAAAAAAAAAAAAAAAAAAAAAAAAAAAAACAAAGACCACCACCACCCAGCCACCCCTTCCCTTTCCCCATCCCCTGGCAGCACCACCAAACCTCCGTCTACAACCCCCACAACCACCAGTCCACCTGACCACCGTACCCCCACCTACCTCCTAAAACTGCCACCCAACCACCTTGAATTTCCCAAAAATCGATTCACAACATATGCCACCAGACAAGTCTTAAGAGAGACTAGCATCATTGATATCTTCTTCATGGCAAGAAAACATCCACATTGTTGTTGCAGATGGTGTATTCGTATCAAGAAGCTCGCTTGTAATTAGTTCAATATTGGTATCCAAGTACATAAAACACATTCTGATCATCAATAATGCTGTAAATTTCCTCAAGCTCGGGGAAATTATCCTCCATAAAAGAAGCAAGTTGATCATAAGTGGTTGGCAAATCATTTTCTATGAATTCTGCATCATGAATTATATTTATCCTCATATTCCATTCTTTGTAGATTCTTGTAATCGAAAGATGATTCATTGTTGTTTTCTGGTTCAGCCAGAAGAATCGATGAGCAAAGAAGAGGATCATCAACATATTTTTCAACTCTTCCATCATCTTCCTGCACTTTTCCCTCCTCCTCACACCAAAATCCAAATCCCAAATTTCAATCGAATTCTTTCTCTCTCCTCAATCTCCTTATCAAATTACAATCCTTCAATCCCATCAATTAATTCAACAATTGTGTATCAAAACATAGTTGACACCACCACCAATTCGTTCTACCCCATCAATTTCATCAACCCCTTTTTCAATACCCTAATCTAACCCAAATCCCTAACCAATTTCACCTTCTGCTCTTACTTGTTTGCTTCGAAGGGAAGTGGTGGTCGCCAGCGTGGATAAAGGGGAAAGGGAGAGTCGGCCGGAGATGGACGTAGGTTGCCGGGGGTGGGAGGATTTGGGCGGCGGGTCCAATGGGGAGATTGGCTGGTGGTTTGGGGGTGATGTTTTTTTTTTTAATAAATTAAATTTAATTATTAAATAATTAGGTGGGTTAAAGGGTAGTTAGAAAAAATGGGAGGAAATTAAGAGTAATTAAGTAATTAGAGGATAATTAATCAAATAGGTTTCCTCCTGCAAAAAAATGAATGTGGTGATTTTTTATAACCAAAAAGCTTTCAAAAGGTTTTTTTTTTCGCAAAATGGTGCTTTTAAAAAAAAATTTCTAACAAATTTTCCTTAAAAAGACAGAGGGAGTATGATTTGGAAGGATGGAAGTTTTGGTAAGTTTCTAATAATGAATTATTTTTGGAAAGTTTAATTTACTTAAATCATGGATTCTATATTGGATATTTTCAAAGCATGTTTAATTAAATAAAATGAGTGTACATATCTTGCACTTGGATGTAATTAGCTTAATTTGCAAACTTATACTATCTATTTTGTTTTGATTTGCCTTGTTTGTCATATTTGGTAAGTAGTCGTGATTTCATCATATGTGTATTTTATATGCGCATTGGGATTTTGAGTTGTTTCACATAGACTTAGGGGCCGCTTGGTTCGTAAAGTGAATGATTTCGGCGAGAAGTGGTCTGGGTGAGGTTGGTTGATGTGGGTACGGTGGTGGTTGGGGAAAGGGAATGGGAAAGGCTAGGGGGGTGGGGAATGGGTGTAGAAGCTTTTTGGGTAATCAAAGGGGAAAGGGAATGATAGAAATGCAAAAAAAAAAAAAAAAACAACAAAGGGAATGATTCCCATGGAATCCCATTCCCTTTGATTATTACCGCGAACCAAACGGCCCCTAAGTTTATTAAGAGTTTTAGTTATTTATTTCTTGTTAAGTACTCAATAATAATGATGAATTTGATTTCAATTAATAATAAATTCAGTTTTATTCCGCCGTCATGTTTAGCAAGTTTAGTAGTTTTAAAGTAGTCTTACGTAATCACGTGGTGGTAATACACCCAAGTTTCACTTTATGGTATTTTATACGTATTATTCTACTATTTTTTAATAGAGGAATTTGGGGGTGTCACAGATACTTTACCTAAAATAATTTAATTAATTAATAATTGAAGAAAGAGAGTCAATA